GCCGTTGCTTCCCGCCGTCGTCGCTGAAAATTTCTGCACATACATGCCTTCATGCTGTCTATATCTTCAATGTTTCCTTCTGTTTGACTCTGACAGTCCCTCCGAAAGCTTTATTGCTCATTTTGCGTGTCATGTGGGACATGTCACATATGTTACATCCGTTACTTATGCACCACGTGCCGTGACTGATTGTCACCGAGGTGCGTTTCTCTATCGAAATGCACCAGACGTTCGAGGGGAGGACCCCCCACATGAACCTTACGACTTTTTTGACTCCGATTTGCATCTCCGCTACGGTCACCGGGCCGGAATCAGTCCTTCCCTCGAACGTCTGGAACCGAGACTAGTGGAGCGCCGAATAATGGGCTCTCGCTAATTTCTCGACTTTCAAAGTAGCTTTTATAAAAATAAAGCCCGGGCCTGCTTCTATTGAGCTCCCCACGGTGTCACGCATCAATGTATTTTAGAGCAAGGCAGTCTTAAATACGCAGAGGCTCATTGGCGGACGCAAGAGCACATGAACAAGAACTCTACAGGTGAGCAGCTTCAATCTCGCTTCTCTGCATCCTATTCTCACAAGCGCTCCCAATGAGCCAAACAGGAATTCTCGTGGGTATCTGGTCGGTACAATACGGTGAGCGGACGGCCACTCAACGTGTGCGAAAGGACTCACCAAAGTTATCCGTGGGATCGCACCAGCACCTCCCGCGGGTCCATGCCTCGCCTTGTGGACAATGTTGATGTGGCTCATGTCGGTATCCGATGTTGTCGAAGAAGTGCATTTGGGATTTGGGTGCGAACAGCGATAACGCAATACTCTGGATCGCAGATGCGCTCCAACGCTAGACAGGTGTTTCAGTGTTGTCCTCTCAGCAAGAGAAACACGGAGGAGCGCGTACCTCGTAGTAGATCCCGCCTTTTCTGTCGAGATAGTCAAAGAATCGTCTATATGCGTCGCTCCGCCAAAAATCCATGTCTGCCATCTCGAAATTATTCCAATCTGGAGGCAAATTGTTAGATCGTTTCTCAACGTCGGATCCGGGGCAAACATACATTGACATAGATTATAGCTGTCGCCAGCATCATCGGATACAAACCTAAGGAAGTTATCCTTCGGCACTAGGTGAGAGTTCTCTTGGGTGAAATCTATGAAACTGTAGTTATAGATGAACGGTTCGAGGCTGCCCGAAAGGCCTACCATAAACTGCCTCCCAGAGTGTGTATGCTGCCTGCAGGACTCCGCGATTCGCCATAGAAAAGCCTAAGGTCAAGTTAATGGGTGTCGACGCCAAAAAGTCGAGCTAAACTCACCATACGACTTCCGGTTGTTCTCCATGAACAATAAAGGATCCTCTACTATATTGCAGAAATACTTGACGCCAGGCCTTGATAATGCATCTTCAGAGAAGCAGAAAAATTGGAGCGATAGCGCTCACTCTACACGCCAGTAATATCTATAATCCTTCAGCAGCTCGTGATCGAAGAGAAACTGATCGGATGTCCATTAAATCCCGCATAAAGGAGAGAAAGTCTGCTTACTCCCGCATTGAAACGATTCATGTTCCGCCATCTATCACCGGTTTTCAGCTGATCATATCATCACCGAGGTAGAGACCCAAGTGATCCATACGTACGAGAGGCTCTCTGAAGAACCTGGCTTAACAAAGAATAACTCCATATTCAAACTCGAGGTGATAATTTACCTCCGTGGGGGACTCGAGACAGCGCCATGCTTTTGCGCACGCGTTCTGCGAGGCTGGCATTTATCCAGTGTGGCTGTTCCCATGCTGCTGGAGGAATGGATCCAAAAGTGACAGATGCATCGGTCATTCTGCTCACTCGCCTTCGCACATCACCCCGATTTCAGCAAGAGCGAATGAAGCATCAAAGTCGCTCGCCCGTACAATTTGAACTCATCTGTAAAGGGCTCATCGTTGAGGAACAGCCACGGATAACCGTAGCGGCCATTGAAGCGATCCTCAAGCTGCTGCATGGTCAGCAGCAAGGCGCCCAGATCACTGTTACGACATAGGACGAGCAGCGTAGCATTGGCACGGAGCTGCAGCGGAACTGCAAGAGGCGAGTTTACGTCCAGGCTGTCATTCGGCGGCGTGGGCGCAGCAGGACGGACATTCCTTGCCCTTGGTGGTGGTGTCCTGGTTGTGAGGTAATGCAGCAAGATCTGCGATGCAATGGTTAAATGATTCCTGAATCCTGTGCATCAGCGGAACACTTACGAGGAACACCAATATGCCCGTCACAGCGCGAAGAGGGTGCGATGAGGTCCAGGTTGTGGGCATTGTTGGGATCCGAGATCACGCAGATGGCCTTGGCCGTGGTATAAGTACAGGCGAGAGATTGATACGTGTGAGCATAGCCGAACCGTCGCCGGGCGCTGTGTGAGAAGGCTTTATGTAGAGCAGTATATCTAGATTACACCACTCCCGGTCGCTGAGCAGGAGTACTTAGTTTGGGGATGGACCGGAGGCACGCAAGGGAGGAGTGGCGTGCGTGCGCAGTGGAGATTCAGAGTGCAGGGCAGCATGCGCACTGCACGAGACCTGCAGCAATCAGTCTCTTCGATTCCTTTATCTCCCTGCCGTGTCTTGACCATCTTCCTCGACTTTTTATCCCGCCGCGTTTGCGTGGATATTCGGTCAAACGACATGGCAAAGCGTAAAATTACGCGCTGTCATGTAAGTCCTTCACATTAATTGTGATTTCGGCAAGATCTAACCTTGCTCCAGTTCTATAACCACGATGGGACGCCCATACGGCACGCACGCGGATTGGGATGTACTCGAGGGATAGACGTCTGTTTCTTCGCGCATCCAAGCGAAGCAGACTGGGCCACTGCAAGCCCACCCGCACTATTGTATCAAGACAACCGGGGTCCCAGCAATAGAGGACGACGAAGCCCCTCCCCTCGCCGTCAATATTCTCCTGTACCCCGACCTCGGCGCGATTCAAGCCTCGAACGACGGCGAGAACCAATTCGCGATAGTCGCAGCCCGCCGCGATACCGACGCGATAGTTTTGGGCAACCCCCTCGCGACCGCTCTCCACAGCCGAGCGCTCCTTTTGACTCCCGCTATCGCGACCGCTCGCCGCGTCCGCGAAACAACTCTCCTCGTCCCAATCGCGTCCCTCCTGCCGACATAAACATGCCGCCCCCACCACCCACCGGCCCTAGGCCTCTTAAAGACGCGCCAGGCTCCTTAAGATCTCCTATTCCATTTTCAAAGCCACCTCATGTTAGACCTACGGAATCGACGTCGCCTTCGACGCCCTTTCCACCTCCTCCGTCTACGCGCCCTCCACTTGTTCCGCCCCCGCCGGCCTGGCCTCCTGTCTTTGATGCTAGTACGTCTCAATCGGCCGATCCCATTGCAGAAGAGATGACTGCGGAGGAGAAACGGCAGAAATGGACTGAGCGCGTCAGGTGCGTCCAAAACTAGATCCCTTACTTACAACTGTTCTGATGATGTGATCCAGCCTGCTGTCGCAAGTCATCAAGGAACGAGGCAATTACTCGCAGCTCGAGACCAATGCCCACACCCTTCGGCGGTTGGTGGCGTCACAACGATTCGAATCCTTCAGCAATGAAGACAAAGCGGATACTCGAGTGCAGCTTCAACACGCGGAGGCAAGGAGCCGAGAGAAAAAGCAGACAGTAGATGCGCTCATCACGCGTCTGGCAGAGGCTGGATTCTGGCCTATCGTTGCGCCTTACGATACTCAGGCATTCGAGACCAAGTACAACGATATGAAGGAGACTATGCTTGGCTTGCGCGATGGCGTTGCAGAGCTCCAGAACAGTATCATGGCGGTCACCATGCAGTATATACAACGACAGCAGCCGCAATTGGCAGCAGGCCTCTCAACGCAGCCAGAAGCCGGCACCTCCGATCGGCCCAGGAAGAGACCGCGCTTGTTTGAGACGGTTGACATGTCTGTCGATATACAACCCAGCGAGCCTGTCGATGCGAACCTCCAACAAGTTATCACGCAAATGCAGGACCGCCTTTCCATTATCGATGCGTCGCTCGCAGACATACACAACGACCTGACGCAGCACGTGCAAAATGTCATGGATGAGTTTGACTCCAAACTCGATGGCAAGGTGGACGAACTTATAGAAAGACCAATATCAGCTGAGGCTGGGGGAGAGTCGTTGCAGCGGCTAGAGAAGGCTGAAGAAGAGGTCAAGACCGTTGGCTCGGAAATGGATGAAATATCTCAGGAACTCGTGTCTTTGATCACCGACTTCGGAAGTGGGTCTCGAGAACGAGATCGACTAGAAGCTGAAAACCGGGCCCTACAAGACAAAGTTGCGAAGGTATATCACGTCTCTTTCGTCTCGATCTCCGTCTTCATCATGACGTTCTTTGTCAGTTGGAACAAGACGGGCGATCAAACCGAGAGGCGTTGCAGCAGATTAGCAAGGAGAATGCGGCCTTGTCCAAAGCTCTAGCTATCCGTCTCGCAGGACCTACCCACCAAGATCCACCAGCGGCCGAGGCACTCTTCCAACGCATAGAGCAACCGGTCAGATTAAGGATCCGGGAAGAGGTCGCACCACTGTTAAAGGAGTTGCAAGAGAACATCAACCAGACACTCTCGAAATGCATGCAAGAAGTGCAAGGGCCTCTGTTTGACAGGCTCTCTCAGAGTTTGCACGCTGCGAAGACGATCAGCGAATGGATAGAAAGGGATGGGCAAGGTGCACTTTCTACCATGCCGCCTCCGAATAACCCACATCGGTGATGAAGTACGCTACTGTTACGCATCACGTCTACCTTCATCTCCTACATTGACTTTGCGCCTGTATCCATAGTCCGTCTTCCGTTATTTACGTTCTTTATTGTCATACGCGTACATATGCACCACCTGTGACTTATTGTATCCTTCACTATCTGCTTCATCAACTATGTTAGCCCGAGGACGACCCATTTTTAGCGTGTACAGTATAGTATTAATATTCTGTCCGCGCAAAAAAGTGGACCTTCCGAGAATCGAACTCGGGACCCTTGCATTAAGCCACGTGATGACCAGGTCAAGTTAACCTCATAAGTACAAAGCTCTACCGATTGAGCTAAAGGTCCTACACTTCATCCATCGAAAGATGAGACCATACGCAGCTGTCCTAGACGCTCCCTCAGACGCGTGAAATAAGTGAAATATTCAAAATCGATTCATCAGACCTGCGCAACGCACACTGGGTGGCTCAAGCGGTGCACAATTCCACCAAAATATTTTTGCAGCTGGGTGGCCTGCTTTGAGTTGCTTGCCATAGTTACCTACGATATGACGACGTCTAAAAATTGGACCCTCCGAGGATCGAACTCGGGACCGTTGCATTTGAAGTCACTAACGACCAGATAATACGTAATTTATCCCTATAAGTACAAAGCTCTAACCGGCTGAGCTAAGGGTCCTGAGTGAAGGGGTCGCCGTCTGCGACACATAACCTAAGGTCGCCGACACAAAAGTGCTCCAAGCTGATTTTGAACGCTTCGAAGACTGCTGGTGTCTGATACAGGGCTCTAATAATATATGTTACAGTATACATCCATCGTATCCACGCTAATTGCAGAATGTCCCAGAAGAGAATAGACAAAAGAATTACTTGCAAGTTCGTCTACGCGCGATCGCATATGCGTGTCCCCTCTTCGACTCCTTTCGGGGAGAGATGAAGGAACCGCGTCCCTACTCGCGCGGCTTGTTCTTCAGAGTGAGTGATCCACACGATAGCCTTCAGGCTAGATTCGGGTGACTTGATCTCCTGTAAGAGGGTGTTCTCGACAGTGATCGAACAGTCCGCATCGAGAGCCGATGTAGGTTCTAGGATAGAAGCGCATGAACAAACGGGTCGTGGCTCAATAGATAGATGAGCGTACCGTCAAGAAGTAAGATCTCTGCAGTGTTCAACCCAAAGCCGATCGCTAAAGCGAGGCGCTGCGCCTCGCCTCCGCTGAGGGTGTTCCATGCACGGTCCCATAGGTCTTCATCTATCCCCCAAGAGCTCGCGACATCTATAGCATGCTGCATATCGATCTTCCCTTGTTTCCGGCGCGCATGATAACCCGACAGTGTCTCGAGGAAGTCACGCGGTGTACTCGGAAGAAGGGAAGGGCGTTGGGGAACGTATTGCACGTGTGTTCGGTACGTCGGCACACCTGAGAAGACTGTTGGTCCACGCCTTGACTTGTCTATGCCGAAGCTACAAGTATATTTAGAGCTTACCGTACTGCTTTGGAAGTCTACATGTCGTATTAAATGGATGATCTGTCATAGAAATATAACAAAAAATGCAGTACCTGCCTCTGTACTCAACTGAGCCCTGGTAAAGATTCAGGTGAGCCAGGCATTTGAGAAGAGTTGTTTTGCTTGAATCCAGTCAGTATATCTGTCGGAGAACATATGTCCGTGAGAAAAGCATGTACTTACCCAGCGCCACTGCGAGCACGTAGCACGACAACATCTCCCTCGTGGACCGAGAAAGATACGTTGCTGAAGATCGGCCCGCCTTCTGGTCGCGAGCAAGACACGTTCTGAACTTCGAGCAAGGCTTTGTTCATCTGGAAATCCTGGGGGCTGTATGCGTCAGCTGGAAGGTGCTGAGCAGCCTCTTGTGTTCGAGGCCCCTCTTCGTTACTTCCCACGGTCACTCCCAGCGCTCTCCAAGTACTTCCGTCCGGGCCCGCCGCAACGCAAAAGTACGACGATCCCGCACGAGGTCAGCAAAATAGTCGAATTTAATGTTGTGCCCCCAAGTAGGAGCTGGATTGCTTGTTGTCGTTATGTTGTGCCGACAATCGCATAGGCACGGCTCTTACGGGCGGCGGAGATAAGCAAGGATCCCTGGCGACTCCTTTCTGACCAGGACGGGGTCAGGAGACGATCTACGAGTCATAGCAGCATTGATATTACCGACAAAAAGGCTGGTAAGAAAGCATTTAAAATTCTGAGAAATTGTGCCAGAGACACATGCAGCTGTATGTGATGGTGGTGGCAAGCTCGTAATATTTGTACGTACACAACGCCTCGAAACTCTTCGTGCATACGACTGCCGTTACCGTCTGCTTCGTCTCTCTACACGACCGAATGCGACAGATCTGCGTACGTATGCACTGCGGATGCTATTTGGCTCCGTGGGAGGTGTATCCACCTGCTGCGTACACTTCATCAACATTCAGTAACGCTTGCGCCGGATGAGACACGCGGACTACAGGTTGGGCAATAAAGCTCGGAGGAGAGCTCGGACTTCGTAGAGGAGATCTTTTAGCCCTCCTGGCACATTAGCTGCGCTCGGACATCGTCGCCCATCGATCGCTAGCACCTATCGAGTTTCCAGAATATCGGTGAGTGTTATATACCGGCTCCTATGCTAGTGATCTCATGCTAGGATGTTTAGATCTGCAGCTACCGCCCAACCGATTAAAGTCACACCATCCGTCCTCTGGCGTCTTTTCTGCCATCTCTTCATATGACGGCCAATTTCCGCACCCTGCACGGAAAGGATTCAGCGACATTCGCATATCCCCCACTCGATGGCTCTCTGACTATTCCGGAACTTTACGAGTTCCATGCGGATCATAGCCCTGAGCACCCACTCTTCGTTTACACGGACGAGAACGGCAAAGACGTCACTATCAATTACAGACATGCATGGGTTAGTATCAAGAGAGCATCGCAGATTGTATGGGACCTCTCCCAACGTTCTCAAATAAACGCGCGTGAGGATAAGCGAGTTATCGGTATTCTAGCAACTGCAGGTACTGTCTGCACAATTACGCGTCTGACGCAATGTCATTTGAAGTATTGATCCGTACGTGTCTAGATACCGTCACATATGTCTCGCTATTCTTGGGCATTATGCGACTTGGCTTCGTGCCCTTCCTAATATCCGTCCGCAACTCACCCGCAGCTATTGCACACCTCGTGAAGAGCGAGGGTGTTCAAGATATTATTGTCAGCTCTGACACCTCCATGCACCATCTCTATCATGAGGCGACGCAGCTGTTGGCACAAGATGGAACTACAGTCCGCATGCTGCCTATGGTAACGTTCGAAGATCTCTATGGCCCAAGAGAAGAACAAGCGCAACAAGCGTCTGATTTCCCCCTGCGAAAACTGCAGCTTGATGAAGTAGCATTGATCATGCACTCGTCTGGTAAGGTGCTTGAGACATATCGAAGCGACGCGAGCCCTGACTGCTGTTCATCAGGATCTACTGCGTTCCCTAAGGCCGTCAAGATGACGCACAGAGCTTACCTGCAGTGGGGTAATTACGTTGGTAAGTACGATACCGAGTCGCCGAATGTACGTCTTCAGAGTTCTTACATGTGACTGCAAGCCTACGGTGAGGTCGATATGTGTGGACGCAGAATTTCCACCCAAGCTCTACCAATCTTCCGTAAGTACTGTCGTAGCGCTTCCCTACTCCCCTCTCACCAACGCCCGTTGGCAGACGCGCTGGGAATCAATATTGTTGCATTTGCCGTACGTGTCTGAGACTGTCTCACCCTCACTTGACCCTGACTTCATGCAGTCGTGCTCGGGGATTGTGCTGGCATGCTACAGACCATCGCTACCGCCTGTAGTACCCACCGCTGAGAACTTGCTGGAATCAATCGTGTCGTTGCGATGCGATGTAGGCTTATGTGTCCCATTGTATGTCGAGGTAAATACGCGATAGGGACATTCCCTCGAGCGCACACTGAAGAACCGGTCTATAGATATGGGCTTGCAATCATCACAATGTCTCGATTCTGAAAAATTTGAAGGCTCTGGTCCGTGATCTTCGCTTAGTCCCTCGTTACTTACGAGCTCAGGGTTTGCCCAGATTTATGCTGGCGCTTCTCTAAACCAAGATACTGGCAACAAATTGGTGAGTGCTGGGGTGAATCTCATGCCCTTTTATGGATGGTACGTCCGGGAAAATATGGACTTGCGCTCACGATAAGTAACTCGATTGTCCTTCAGCACCGAGTCCGGCGGATTTGGAGTGATCATACCTGAGGAAAAGTCGGCGTTGGATACATGGGAGTATTTCACCTGCTCTCCGCACATAGAAACGAGGCTACTAGCTCAGGCCGGATTGGATGACATCTTTGAAATGGTCGTCGTAGTAGGTGCTACCCATACCTGATATTCGATCAACACTGATAGCTTGCAATCAAGGAATCGTCCATACATACGCTAAACACATCCAACACCCTGATCAACGGGCGAAAGGCCTTCCGGACCAGCGATCTTGTGCAGCGTCACCCCACGCTTCCCAATCTCTGGAGAGTCTATGGGCGTGTCGATGACCAGATCGCACTTTCTACGGGCGAGAAGGTATGGGCATGCTTTCTCTATCGATGACATGCCTGACTTTCGTTTAGACCAACCCCAGCCCCCTTGGTACATTGCTCCGGTGCTGGGAAGTATATGTTTATTGACTGCCTCGCTTGCAGAGGCCATCATCACGCAAGATTCGCTTGTCCAGGCAGCGATCATGTTTGGACGAATGCGGTTCCAGAACGGCATCCTCATACAGCCTGCAAAGGGTCACGAGTTCGATCCACAAGATCACCTCAAACTCGAGGCGTTCCGAAACAAGATATGGTTAGAGGATCCCGCTGAGCCTTTCTTCTGGCTGAGATAACACTGCATACCTAGGCCCAGTATTGAGAAGGCTAATGAGTTCGCTCCATCCCACTCGAGAATATTCAAGGAAGTGAGTAACGACATACAACTAGTTGTATAGGACCTCACTGACCCATGTGCCGCAGATGATCCTTGTGACCCACCCATCTAAACCTTTGGAATATACAGCTAAAGGCACTCCAAGGCGGCAGCATAGCTTGAAGCTTTACGGCCAAGAAATCAACGCCCTGTACGACGCAGTAGCAGAGGCGTCACAAACCGACCTCGTTCCTCCCTCTGTATGGACAGCCGATGCTACAGAGAAATTCGTGAGGACGGTAGTGGGCCGGGTCATGAAGGTGCCTGTCAACGAGGAGGATGACCTGTTCCAGTCAGGCTGTGATAGGTGCGATACTACTCTCAGGTAGTGCGAAGGCGCTAATACCCTTCTAGTTTGCAAGCCACGTGGATCAGAAACAGCCTCTCTCGCGCCATTCGCGTGACCGCGAATGTCCCTCGACATCTCATCCCCTTCAACTTCGTCTACACTTACCCCAACATCAAGGCGCTTTCGCAGTTCATCCATCAATTATGCAACACCAAGATCGGGTACATGGATACAGAAGAGGAGGCCAGGGAGAAGATCCGCATCATGGAGGAGCTTGTTGAGAAGTACTCCTGTGACTTCCCGTCTCGACCTCCCTCGGCTTCTTCCAGCGATAGTGCAAACTCGGGCTCGGGGGAATATATCCTGCTGACAGGAACAACGGGACGTTTTGGGTCTTGCCTCCTTGCGCAGCTG